GATGTGCTATAGGCTGTCACATGTTAAATAAAAATATTGTTGATTAGAAAAAAATGTCTATGATGGTAAAAATCATTGTGGAAACATTGTGGAATAAACATAAAACTTAATGCAAATGCCTGAAGTTTGTTCAAACAAGAACAGCGCTAGTACTTAAATGTTTAACATTCAGCGTTTAGGAGGAATTCAAAAAGAAAACGAACTGCAAATTCTCTGAAAACTGTATCATCATTCAAGACAAGAACAAGTTGAATCAAAGTTTGCCCGATTCAAGGATTTCTGAACGTCATCTAAACAACCGCGCTGCACTCGCGTTGCACAAAAAAGCGACTACATCCGATGCTAAAAATAAGCCATATAATTACAGCTCGAGCTGAAAGCGCAATGCTTTCGCTGCAGCGCTGGTTGTACGGTTGCCCTTGACAACCGAGACCCAGATACTATCGCACACGCTCTACACCACCTCACCCACACATGCAGCCCTCAGACGAATCCTTGCAATACACAGCCATGAAGCCGACACACATGGAAGCGACGCGTTCCGTTTTGAAGCTTTTATTTTTTTTAAGAACGCGCTTTGTGCGCTGGTACAAAGAGTTTCGCGCTGTGATTACTAGAGGTTTTGATCGTCATTTGAAGATGACGTCAGCCTCCTTTGAAATTTCAAATCTGGAATGAAGTCTAGTGATGTGTTGTCAAAAGATTTATACAAAACCACGAGCCTACTCAACAATTAAAAGCCACAAAGAAACATTACATAATATTGTAAAATATAAACTTTCAAAGACAATAAATTAGGTCACCGATACATATTTCCATTATAATCGGAATGCAAAGTAAGAAGAAACGTTTTTGTTTTGATTAAACGACTTAGGCTTCAGACATCTGACGCTTTCCCAGTTGCCGCTCTGAATAGAGTGTAGATGAAAACTTTTTTATTTTTTCCCCCAGGAAAATCCGCGGAGGTACTCAAGGGGAAGCGAAAAGTCGAAACGAGCGTGTTGCAATTTAGTCTCGCTTTATAGACCAAACAAAGAGTTGCTTTGATGTTCAGCCTTTGGTAGGCTGGAGATATCAATCAAGACTATTTGGAATGGCTTTACTCTGAGAATTAGTGACTATTTTTGTTTCGGATTGTTTTGTTTTTATTCAATAAGTTCGTGTGCTTCGCAGAATTTCAAAAGGGGACAGAATTTTATTCAGACTGGAATATTATAGTCAATAATTAGTAAATTATAATGACACAAAGGGATAGGAAAATAATGGAAACTATAAATAAATTGATTCCATTTATCAAATTGCTTGTCGCAACGGACTCTGTAAATGAAATGTGTCGACAAACTGATACTCAATACCCCGTAAAATATCTCCTTTCCTTTAATTTTAGAACGGAACGTGACTATAGCCCCGTGATCAATACAGACAATAATATCGGTATGAATGAATCGTATCGTAAATTTAAATATAGAACTTGTTTATTCCATAATCAAATTTAAAATTAGAATTCTATTTCTTTTTTTAATCGCACACGGCTTTACATATTTTGGTCGGCGATTCTTATGAAGTTGGTATACGATATCGAGTTGTGGAATTTCGTGCGGGCCTCCTAAATAAATAAACAAAAGTTTAGAGAGAAACACGGAATGCGGTTGAGCAATTTTTGTTATCGTTAATAAAAACGTTCGTTTTTCAATTTTACAGATGCGGGCAATTTATTTTGGTCCTTGTTTCTTAAAAAGATAAATATAGTTAACAAGATTTAAAAATATCTTCGTCTTATCTAATATCGATCAAAAGCCGGCACAGTTTCAAATTGAACATCTCAAAAATAGTTCCCTCAAAATAGTGGCACTGAAATAGAGCATGGCTTTACTATTAGCGTGGCGTCTATTCTTAGTCTGTTTACTCACATACATTAGAGGTTGCTACGGAACTAAACGGTTTTGGTGATTTGACATAGGTCGGAACTATCTTGGATAGGCAGGACCTTAATTGAGTTTTGAAATATTTGATGAACACGATTAAACTCGTACTTTATGATAGACACTCTTTATTAGTCGTACAGATTGGAAAACCTTCTCAAAAACATTGTATTATTTTTGGTTCCCTTTTTTTAATTAAATGATGTTTCACCGCTCTAAGTTACAACACAGAATAATAATAAGTACTACGTACAGAAGTTTTACTTCGCGAAGGTATTTAAAAAAATGTATGCTCAATGTCATTAACAATATGGTGTAATTTAGCCTGTCTCAAGAGTCAAGCACCATTTTGTTGACAAACGTCAGTGATCGGCACTGCGCCGAAGCTATAGGGCTGACTTCGGTAAAATGATGTGACGTGAGGTGCCAAACTGCGGAAAATGGCGGAGGAAATACATGATTTAGCATGAATTATCATGAATAATATTAACTACTTATTTACCTGTCAGTGTCTTGAGGCAACTTAAAAAAGTAGATTCTGTGTTTTTATTATTATTTAGGATGTTAAATACTGCACAGTATTTAGTACACCATTTTCTTTATTTTCTTCCACCATACACAAGAATACACGTGCGTGAGTCAATGTTCGCTCGTATGTGAGGCCTTGTCGAATAGTATCCTGTAGTTGGGCCATCGTGCGTGTTTTGTTTTCGATGTAAACTCGCGGAGATGAACAGACCTGGTTACAAACACTTTTGACCCAATAGAAGCATCCATTGATAGTCAATATTAATCAATTACTTTTTCGTTCCAACGACTAATTTGCACAGATAATTGCAATTCAAATTTCGAAAAACGAATTTTGGAACACATTTAAAAATATTTTTGTTTTTAATCGTAGAAAAACAATGCAATAACGTCATCATCATGGCGCCTGTAGTCCTGGTCTAGTCGCGTGATACCGTATCGTACTGGTGACTAGCTGTAGGCGTTAGGGAAACCCTGTGACGTCATCTTAACTCCATTTATATTAAGACACATAACTTGCGATTGCTAAGGGTTTGTAATTACTTTCATCTTTATAATTTTAAGAAAGACAACTTTTAATTAAGCTAATAGTACACAGTAGCTTTTCCTTGAGCTTTTATTGATAAAACGCGCAGCAAGCATATTTTTCTACAAGTCTGTCACTTGGGGATAAATCCGAAGTGTATTGCATTGGAATAGTCCAGTTTGATATAACCGAGACTTTTTACTCCAGACATAAATAAAACTTACTTTATGTCGCAGAATATAAGTGCAAGGATGGAACTCTGTATGAAATAAAAAATACATGTTAATAATTAATTATTTAGTTAGACGAAAACTACATCTTACATAAATGATACTGTCGTTACCACTACATTAGCCAACTATATCGTAGTTGATAGCACCCGCCCTTAAAACATAACTATAGTGACGAACTTGCGAGTAAAGTCTTACACCATAATCGAATAGAGCTCACTCGATAAATCGATTTCTGCACTTCCAAAAGTGCGGCCAGCGGTATCACACTAGTGTGAATCGCTAACGTGCGGGGCGGAACGCACCGGGGCGAGTCGGTGACGTCACGAGCGATTATCACCCCGGTTATCTGTCCCGTAATGGTGGGAACGATTTGCGAATGGCGTAAAATAAACAACCTTTCGCTATAATTCTCCTTGACAGAACGTTTGTGTAATTGCACGGTGTTTCTTATTCTGTTGTGGTGTGGTTATGGGGTTCGTTAGAGATTTTTAAAGAGCTTTGTTTTGTTTGTATGTGATATGTTATAGGACGTTTCCTTTAAAGGTTTTGGATACATTTTTAATAACAGTTGCTTTTTCATATTGCTATAATCAATTTAGTTTTCAAGGGCTGGTTCTTCTGCTATCAATAATCTATTAAACTTAGGTAGTGTTGTGTATCTGAATTAGGCAAAAAATCGTGATAATCACATTAAATACATAAAAGTGGGACGTCTACCCACAAGATGGACCGACGACCTGATAAAGGTAGCAGGAAGGCGCTGGATACAGGCCGCTACCAATCGTGTGATGTGGAAGTCATTGGGGGAGGTTCCTGTTCAGCAGTGGACGTCCAGTGGCTGAAATGATGATGATGATGATACAAAAGCCACAACAGATACATAAAAATGTATGCTCAAGCCACGCCACGGTATAAAAAACCTTATTAAAAGAGCACTTAGGCCAAAATCCATCAAAACACCGTTGTCTTCTGTCGTATCAATTGTTTACGCATCGGTTTTCGCACCCAATAAAAACAATCCTGACCCAGTTGTCTTAATCAGGTCAAGTCTCCATCACAGCAACTCTTGCAGCTACGTCCATCGCCATTGATTCCGCTGAGCATGGGGTGCGCATGCGGTAAACTGAAACATAACCTCCTTCTGGATATTTTTTTTCTCTTTCTTATTACTAAAGTTATGATAAGCTTTGAGACTTACAATCTCTAGTTTTGCCATCTAAGGCCCGATTCGACTATACTTTTTTCCGAGAATAACTCCTGGTATAACTGGCACATTGACAGTTTCAGTATAGGAAATGTGTCAAATGAATGTTATTCTGAGATAGATAATTTACTCTTGTTTGGTCGAATACACCCTACGTTTCATAATGCTAATGTTTCTCTCACAATAACGCATTATATTACAACCTGGCTTCTACTATTATTACAATAACGCTTTCGTAGTTCAGTAGCTTAAACGCTCTCAACTTAAAATGTGTAATGCACGTATTCAAAAACATTATTATGAGATCTCACAGTGCGCGTGGACGCACAGGGTGACACATTAACCAATCACAGAGCTCTATTCAACGCTGTGCGTTCGATTTGCTGCTTCACTTAAACAAGTATCGTTTGTGAATACGGGCGTAAGTTTAGGTAGGAACACTTGGTAGGTAATAATGTGCTGCTGCTGTTCTGTACATAATATGTCACAAATAAATATAAGGCCAATTTTCGGGTGTCTGTACCTATTTTGTACGAAAAAATTGTGGTAAAAATATTGATGACTAACAAGTTGTTTTCTTTTCCCAGATTGGTGCAGGCCGCCCGGATAGCATCGGCCAACATCAAGACCCAGCAACAACAACAACCAAACACGACTACAAACCAAAGCCTCCAGTCATATCTTTCGTTTCGAAAACTAAATATATAAGCACTATTTTTTTAACCTTTTAACGATACAACAATCGTACATAGTATACGCTATTCCCAAACAGTACAAATTAATTTAAGTCTGAGTGATCGGTATTTATAAGAAGCCTTCGAACAAGCGAAAGAGAATCTATCAACGACCAGTATTTAAACGTTCCAAAATAATAATCGTTAAACGAGTGCACAAAATAATTTATCGACCGTTAAATTTAAACGAACCAATTCCTCGAGCATTTTCTAAAAGTCAGCCAAAGATTTTATAAACCCTTAGTCATAAGACTCTTAAGTTAACTGCCCGTTGTTAAGGACTTTTTACATTATTTATTTCGTAGTGGGCAAACGAAGTTATTGTGATTAGTGTAGTGTAAACCAGTGTGCCGTATAATCGTATTTTAAGTGCAAAGATAGCAGACTGACTTCACAAGTCGCGGTTTCAGAGTACAAATAACAAGTTCCAGTGCAGTTCCGAGTGTTCAGTACAAGTTAGACTTAGTAGAGGTTATTTTTGTATGCGTGGTGCGTGCGAGGGCGCGATGAAGAAGCGCTCCAGGCGAGCGTCATGAGCGAAGCGCTTCGCAGCGAGGCGGGTGACGCGCACCTGCCGCCCTTCTCCACCTTCGGCGACATGGCCGACGAGCAGCGCATCCTGGCCGCCGACACGCGCCTGCTCGACCCCGGCTGGGAGTACTACGAACGGCACGGCGACACCGTCTCCGTCATCGCCAGCCAGCCCCAGTACCGCCCCTGGGAGTCCATGCCCATCACCGTCAACTCCAAGGATGCCATCCTCAGAGCCGGCTTCTCCTCTCCGTTAGATTACCAGTCGGTCACGCTGCAGCCCATCGCCAACAAGCTGCCGTCCTTCCAGAGCCAGTTCCAAACGTTCCCCGAGACGACCGTCATCCCGGAGACGGGCCTGCCGAGCGTCACGCCCGTGCCCGTCACCACCAGCCCCACGCCGAGCGCGAGTCCTAGTCATATAACGCAACTCACGCAGCTCACTACGCCGTCGTCTCCCGCGCATCTGACGACCCTCGCGCAGGTGACGCCGCTGTCAACAACCCTGACGACTTTATCGCCCGTCAACGCCACGACGTTCCACACGCTGACGGCGGTCAACGCCAGGAGCTACCCGATCGTGCCTGCCCCGCTGCAAGCGAGGGAGCTCACGCCCGCCGGCCAGACCTACATCGACGACCGGCACATACAGCTGTATCAACCAAACATCGCAACTATCAACGCATTCCCAGCGCAAAACGGGATCCTTCACCAAAATGGAACAATCTTACACCAAAATGGAAGCTTAATACAGAACATCCAGAGTCCGACCGTCGTTCATGTGCTGAAGAACGAGCCTTTCGACGTTAAATCTTTACAAGATAAATATACCCCGAATGGACTACATCATAGTAATTTCCAAAATCCAATGCTATTAGACAACGGTTATGAAAAGAAGACGAACGGCTTCGGAAGTGGTTCGTCGCCAACGAGGTCAGACTTCAGAAAGAAGGAGAGACGGAAAATGCGTGCGAATAGTTCGGAGTCGGATGGCTCTAATATGGACATCGGGTCTGAGAGCAGCGGGCAGGTGGCAGCCGTGTCGTCCACCGCCGGCTTCAAGTCCCCGATGCATGGTGCCCCTCAGATGACCACTGGGCCCATGGAGCTAGATGACATTTCCAGCGAAAAACAGGTAGGGAACTTTATATTTTATTTTATTATAGAGCTCTATTTCTTTCAAGACAAACGTCGTGGATTTTATCGCTCCAAAACGTAATTTCGCGAGTAGATAAATTGATGCTGATAAGATCCGCCGACGTCTTAACTTTTTATTAATTCGTCTCGACTCCGCCAGAAGTACGACTTTGATTGCCTTTGCTATTACTTGTAGCGAATTTCCGTGGAGCATTATGATTTTAAATTAAGTTAGTTAGACGTACGCTAATGCTGGTTTCGCGGTACAATAAAATCGGGAACGTCAACTAATCCCGCTCTCCGCGAATTGGCGAATTGCGTAAACAAGACTCGAGGGGATTGCGAATCCGACTATATTCCACGAAAGATATGAGAATTCGCAGAATTTCATCCGACTACACGCCGTAGAAAGTGGATATTCGAGAGATCCCGAAAAAGAGAAACTTTCCCCGTAATTCCACCTTTTATTATTCGGGGAGCAGTTTTTATTCCCGGGCCCGAGTTGCGAAATGGCCGAACTCTCTGTCTTCGCGGCTATAAATTTAATAGTTAGCCGATTCTCTTGCTCCGCCAATAAATTAACTTCCTCTCTCGTTTAAAACACAAATTAAAGTCGGGCGATTTACGCGTGTCCTGCTTAGAAAATTTTATGACTTCCATTCAAATTTGGGAAATGCAATTAGGCAGTTTTGAGGAGTCGGCGCTAGCGAAGTTTACTGATTTAATTGTTATAATATTCCTGTATTAAGCGGGGATTATGATATCTTTATTGGGGAGTTTCTTTTCATTAAGTTACGTACAGTTGGCAATTGTTTTAACAATTCATAATTGCTGGCAGCGGCGGTAGTAAAAAAACATCTAACTCTGAAAGGTCCAGAGTCCGGGCGACATTCCATACAATAAATGTCAACGTATCCTAGTCCTTAGTAATGGAGGAGCACCTTTAGCAGCTGTCGTGTATTACCTATTCGTGTAATTATTATTGCAGAACGTTAATTTGCCAATTGTTTAGATGTTAGTTTACAAGTGACTACAAGAAACTAGTGACTAGTTAGAATTGACTGTTTATGTAAGTAATTAACTTTACATCTTTGCAACTTTTAAAAGCTCGCACCTTAATTGTCACCTGTGTTTTCTCAGATATTTTTAGCCTCGATGCATCATCCAGAGGCTCCTTTATTTATATTATTTTTCTATCTAAACTCAGTAGCTAGATAACACTTAAACGCGCACTTAACTGATGACATTATGACAAATGCCGGCGGTTTATTATAGATCACCGTTGATTAATCAAGATGTCCTGATTAAAGTCTCACTGAATATTTTTCCAACTAGTGTAGCGTTAAATTGCTTATAATTTTATTTATTGGGCACAGTCGGCTTTGGAAATAAGCTTCCGTTATTATTTTATTCCGTTATTATTTACAAAGTAAAGAGAACATCTCTTTACTTTGTAAATTCATTAATATTTCAGCAGGAACTTAAACTTTCGACGGAAAATTCAATTACAATTTTTTTACTAAAATTTGAAATCTACTTAAAGTTCAAGGCGTAGCACGAAATAGTGTCTAAATGAAATGCAAAATTCTTACATAAAAACCAAAATTCGTCCAACAGACTCACTTGCATTTTGTTACAATATTTGTACACTAAATCAAATTCAAAAATTCAAATTCAAAATATTTATTGCTTACTAAGTGACAATGGTGTAAATTACATAATATACAGGAGCTTAAAAACTTAGTTACCTGAGTGGTATCGCAATAGAGTAGGTGGCTATTATTTTAAACATTAATAGTAGTATTATCCCAACTAATATTATAAATGCGAAAGTAACTCTGTCTGTCTGTCTGTCTGTTACGCTTTCCCGCTTAAACCTCGCAACCGATTTTGATGAAATTTGGCATAGAGATAGTTTGAGTCCCGGGAAAGAACATAGGATAGTTTTTATCCCGGTTTTTGAAACAGGGACGCGCGCGATAAAGTTTTTCTGTGACAGACAAAATTCCACGCGGGCGAAGCCGCGGGCGGAAAGCTAGTTATTAATAAAAGTAGATATTACCACTTCCCACCTAGTGACGATCTGAAGGTCGCTGGAAGAACCTGGATGCGGGCAGCGCAGGACCGGTCGTTATAGAAATCCTTGGGAGAGGCCTTTTCCAGCAGTGGACGTCATTTGGCTGAAACAAATAAACGAACAAACGATTACTACTTCTCATGCTCAAAAGTATTTGAGCAGAAAATGTTACATATTCATCATTTATGTTACCGACTGTACAAACGCGTAGAACCAGTTGCAACTAGTTAGCCGGGGTGACGCGTGTCGTCAGCCTTTAATCGATCATGGATAGTTAATCACTCATTATGACTGATATTCATGAAGTAGCCATTATTTGAGTTGCTATCGGCTAGTTAAGAAAATAGTAGAGCTTTTGAGCTTTGCAGTCGTGTGCTGCTTTTATATTCTTAGGCTGAGTTGCACCACCTAACTTTGACTGTAACTATGACGATAGCCGGTGTTTTTGTATGGAGTTTGACAGATTTTTGACGTTTGTCAAAGTTAAAGTAAGATGCAACCCAGCCTTAGTCTGAGCTAGATCTTACGATATAGATCCTTTATTGTAACCTTTGATATCTTCTTTTCCTGGCTCTCATTGAACTTTTATCTCATTAATCTTAAAAAAACTGAGAAACGTTAACAGATTACTCGTATGTTTGGAAGTTCCAAGGCTTATTTTTCATGAAAAACAATTCAGCTAGATGACCGTATTTAAAAAAAAAATTACTAGGTTTCCACAGATATTTTACCAATTTTGGAACATACAACTCTGCTACTTTACTTAAATGGCTTTATTAACGACATAGAGAAAAAGCTTACCTACATTGTTATAGTAGTAGTAATAATTACTTAATAGTATACGTATACGTAGTAATTACTTAAATGTTATTCTGAGCTTTGTTACGTCTTGTTTGAATAGTGTAATTGGTACTACCGTTCTATTCATGAATAAAATAAATAAATAGTATTAACTTCTGTGTTACTATGAGTGACTATATCTACACTCCCCCTGGTAGTATAAATTGATGTTTGATAGAAATAAAGATCTAAATGGCACGTAGCATTCTTACGAGGTTTTAAAAGCCCATCTTCGTAAAAGCAGGTGCTATGACTATCCAGATTGTTATCCAGTGATGGATCAGTGCGAACTCGGTGATAAAAAACATTAACAGATAGATTTAAATTACTTTTAATGGCAAGACGTTAGAAGGAAAAAACATCTAGATGCATTACTAAATAATAAATTAAATTAACCTTTGATAGAAATGTAGTAACTTATTTTCTAATTAACGGCAATGTTTACCGTTATCTTAGTTCTATTAAGGTTTTAATGTTAAAAGCTTAATAAAGTAAGCTTTTTACTCAGAGCTTCGGTATAAAGCAAAAAGTTATAATTATTAAGAAATTAAAAATGAAAATGTTATGAAGTTGGAATGCGAGGTGTTCCAAATCAGCAATTAGGATCTGTTGTAACGCTAGTAGCTGAATAAGGGTGTCTATAAAGTCTGCATTACAGATATTATTTTGTTTTCAATTTATAAAACTTTCAAAGGGAATAAATGCACGATCTGAGCCTTATAATTACTAAATTTAGCATACAGCATAAAACATAATAAAAACTCCATTCTTCAAGAGTACAGACGACAGCATATCAAGGTAAACACTGTAGCTGTTATGTAGTTGTAATAGATGCGATATTTCCACAAAAATGTAGTCTGATATACTGTAGAAATCGAGATTGCATCAATGCACTCATTACATACACGCGAAAGTTTAAAAATTGCGATTTCCAACTAAAACAAAGTCAAATTGAAGGGGTCAGGCGACGTTCTAAGAACAACGTTAACAATGTAACGCAGGTTCGTTTTCGGTAATTAATACAGCCAACACCCGTATAGCGGTGTTAATATTTCAATTAACCAGCTTGATGTATTCCAATGAAATTGTTTTAATTAAATTGAGCGGTTTCTCAATGAGGGCTATCGTTTTTATACTTAACAGTTGGCACCCCTGGCGATTGACAGGACCTTACTCTACAGTGGCGCCATCTTGATGAGTGCAAATGCGATAGTCCTCCTACCACTTTCGCGCTCACTAGTTGGTGCCACTGTCTTCGCTACTAGCAAGTGACAGGACCTTACTCTACAGTGGCGCTAACTGGTGAGCGCTAAAACGATAGCCCTCATTGGCCTACTCGTATCTATTCTTGTTTTGAGAAATGTCCTCTGTGTGTTTTTGCTTTAGCCATAAAATAATGAAGCCTATAAACATTCATGTTTTTTTATAATCTTGCCAGTCTTTATTTTAACGATGTCTACCAATATTAAAAACGACAAAATAACTTTGCACAAATGTAAGCAAAAAAAATCCCTTTTACGTATTCACAGGTGTTGGTTTTTAATTTTTAATTGACCGACCCAGAGTTCTATAATGTTGAACTTCTAACTTCCTGATGACAATTGAAAATTTTTTGGCTATATTTAGGCTCCATACAGAACAATACTAAGGTATTTTCATTGTTTAATACATTAGACATCAACGCTTCACAAAATATCTATACAGCAGCTATTTTTCTAATTCAGAGAAAAACAAAATTGTCATATATCACTCTATCCACGAAATAACTAGTTCGTTCACTTAAGGCTTTTACAAATATCCTATGCGAAACAAACTTAATGCCTATAAAAATAGAGTCTATTTTGCTTTATCACCCACTTATCTTTCTACTCATTACCGAATGACTCAAAGGCGGGAAAACCTTTGTGTTCTAAGAAATAACAGAATAAGTGTGGATGTGTTTTTTATTACTATACGAGAATAATACGTCGACTTATTGAACCAATAAGTGCGGTTGTGGGTTCAAATCTCACATGGAACAAATGATAACTTTGTCCCGGAGTTTAGGGTGCTTACTTAGTTTATTAAGTAGTGGCAAAATTAAATGATACTCTTTAAAAAAATACATTACTAGTTTTCCACGAATATTATACCAAAAGTCTGGCAGCTATTTCGGTCAGAGAATTAGCTTGGCCAATGGCCATTCAACGTGGCAATGCTGCAAGCCTTTTGGGCACCATTCCTGACTGCGGCGCTGGGGGTGAAATATTTTTTATTCAGTAAATAGTTTTTATTATTAGTAATTGTTAAATTTTAGTTTTTAAGTAATTTTAAATATATTATAAAACTATTAAAAGTGACTATGTATAAAGACTCCGCCATAAAAAATAAGTGTTTTGTCAACATCGTCATCTCATTTATTCTTTAGACACATGCTTATAATTCTAAATTAAGAACATTCTTGATATTTACTCGATTAGATAAAAAAGCACCATCTGCTTGACCGGATACCACGCGATTAGGACCGCCATTTCTGTCCTTATTTAACATGCAACTTAATAAAAACCCACTATTCACGTATCTATTACTGTTAATAACACCTACCGTGTGTGCCAATTAATTAAAGTAGAAGCTCAAAAAGTAACCTAAGATAAATTGGAACTTTAATGAAGGCGCAGTAAAAAGTTTAGTTGACATTCTCATGATGTATCAAGAAAAGAAAAATACTTGTAGATAAACTGGCCAGTAACTTTAGTTTAAGTTTTTTAATATGACGGCAAAGGTTTTTTAATATTTAATAGAAAACGTGTTACTAATAAAATATAATATTAACAGAGTAACACAAACACACTTCTTATTATTATTTTCTGTGAGAATGAAACTTTGATTGCATTTTTATTCCACACAATACATTGAACTTGAAGTACAAATGATTACAAAAAGAAAAAAAAAGGTTTGTTAAACAAAAAACGGATTAAAAAATAGAACCGTCAGCTGTTAGAGGAAATAATCCGATGCCCGACCGGCGCCGAAGTTTGCCGAGCTTTCACGAATCACCCACAAAATGGCGGCCTTTTTCTTCCCGCTACACAGCTGTTGCACTTTTTTTGAAGAATAAAGTTGAGCATCGATGTGCTTGTTCAAATTAGATTTTACTTTCATATATGACTAAAGCCCGCAGAATCGCTAAAATCAAGTGGCAGTGGGCGGGGCACATAGCTCGAAGAGCTGACGGCCGCTGGGGCAGGAAAGTTTTTGAGTGGCGACCACGAGCTGGAAGACGTAGCGTGGGCAGGCCTCCCACTAGGTGGACCGACGATCTGGTGAAGGTCGCGGGAAGTACCTGGATGCAAGCGGCGCAGGACCGGTCTTTGTGGAAATCCTTGGGGGAGGCCTTTGTCCAGCAGTGGACGTCTTTCGGCTGACACGAACGAACGATGACTAAAGTCGTCACAATAAAATATAGCTACATTAGCTACATAGCTAATTATCTCCAGAGTGTAATGAATTGAACATAAAAGGAATTGGGGCTTAATTTAATAATAAAAATCGTTTTTGTCAACTTTCGTTCGTTCGTTTCAGTCGAAAGACGTCCACTGCTGGACAAAGGCCTCCCCCAAGGATCTCCACAAAGACCGGTACTACGCCGCTCGCATCCAGGCACCTCCCGCGACCTTCACCAGATCGTCGGTCCACCTAATACCTATTTTTAAACTACTTATAAATTTTATTAAACTTACAACTTAAAAGTTACTTACATGAAACTTTAGTTTGAAATATTCGCACACTACATCGAACTCTACGTCCAATGTATTTTACTTAAAGAGCCTTATTGTAAAAAATACCGCTGTTTTTTGTATTCAGCGTACCTATAATGAAGAATAATGACACTAATAACTTTAACATGCAGTTTTGTCCTTCCAACCTAAAATGGGTCATACATTTGCCAAAAGTCCAGAGCGCTTCGATTGAGTGCGCCCGCGCAAAGCGAGACGGTCATTCAAACGAGTGCAGAATGCACCCGAATTGTCTGGCATATAATTGCGGCCATTTTTGTTCGGACCCACTTTCCCAATCTAACCTTTATGCTAACGCGAATAAGGGTCAGAATATCCAGGAATCGGTTCGTAATAACGGCCCAACTAATGCCGGGACACGCGAGCAAGATCGTCCGATATGCCAATTGGAACAGTTAGCCGTTCGTATTTTTTGCAACAATTGCTAAATTGCATTTAATTTAACTTGATAAATAATAATGAAAACTGATAACGGTGGCATGGCTGCTTGCAAAAAATATGTATAATACAATTACATGTAACATACAAAAACCTCCGTAATATGCATACTTTCACTTAAAAAATGCTTCGAAAAATATGATTTCCGAAGTATAATATAAAAGCTTTCCAATCGTAGTCTTACAAAGTAAATTCCAAAAAAGTTTTCTGAAAATTTTCTCCGAAATTCTTTTTATCGCGAAAGCTTATATCGAAGCTTTTCCTTAGCACACAATAGATTCAGTACAAAGAACGTACATGACGTCGGAAACGCTAGAAGTTCAAAGCTCCCTAACGTAGTTGTCTAGGCGATGTCGAGACGAATATGATCCATTATTTCATTAAACGCTAAAGCTCCTTACCAAGGCAAAAAGCTCCGGAATATTAACAAGACAGTTTAGATACCTTGCAAATTTACCATTTTTTTATTGGAACTGCTTTATGTAGTAAAGAGCATATTCATTATTGATCTAATTTAGTTAAAAATGTCCTTAGAATACCCTTATAACATGCTATGATATGATGAGCGAAAATGTGTTCTCGTAAACTGTATGTCAAATAAAAGCTTTTTTAGGCTGGATTGCACCATCTTACTTTAACTTTAACGAACGTCAGAGATCTGTTAAACTCCATAAAAAACACTGGTTATGTTATAGTTACGGTTAAAATAAGATGGTGTAACTCAGCCTTAGTCTTCAAGTCTCTGAAACCGCAGGAAGGCTTGATGGAAAAACTTGGTGCTGACATCTTTAAAAGTCTTAAATTACAAGAATCTCTCACAGATTATGTTACTTACCCATTCAAATATTATTTTAAATGTAACTTTCCTAATAATTCCCTTCTAACCACAGACGAAGAAGAAACGGAAGCGCTGCGGCGAATGCATCGGCTGCCAGCGCAAAGACAACTGCGGCGACTGCGCACCGTGTCGCAATGACAAGTCGCACCAAATCTGCAAGCAGCGCCGGTGCGAGAAGCTGACTGAGAAGAAGGTTAGTCAACAGTTTTTTAAAGAATATTTACCATTAACCCCTCGTAGTATGTTACATTTTAATATGCTTGTGTTACGAGTGGTACACTACAGTGGCGCGGCGGGGTTCGATTGGAACCCTACGTTTCTTGGATCTCCATTCAGCCGAAGTCATTGGGTTATTGTCGCTTCATAATTCATCATCATCATCATCATTTCAGCTATAGGACGTCCACTGCTGACATAGGCCTCACCCAATGCTTTCTACGAGTACGTTGATCGATTGGTCCATCCTCCATTCCAGAACCTCCATAATATTATTACTAAGGTTTTATCTGGCCAGAGGAGTGTAGGCCATGCCTATTGTAAATTAGAGAGGATCATGCTGATAATGATGATGAACGGGATACATTTTATGGGGACAGTAATTATATTTTGAGTCTATACCTACTCAACCGTTGGGGCAGGAAAGTTCTCGAGTGGCGACCACGGGCTGGAAAACGTAGCGTGGGCAGGCCTCCTACTAGGTGGACCGACGATCTGGTAAAGGTCGCGGGAAGAGCCTGGATGCGGGCAGCGCAGGACCGTTCATTGTGGAAAACCTTGGGGGAGACCTTTGTCCAGCAGTGGACGTCATTTGGCTGAAACGAACGAACGAACCTACTCAACCTTTACTAGTTGACTTTCTTGATGAACAAACTGTAGATCCTAACTGGAGTTGCAGTGGTGCAAATGAGAGATAACTCTATATCTATCGCGACTAATAAGAATGGTTTTACTCCTGGACTGAAAGAACTTTTATAGTAAAGTCTGATATACTCGTAACTCCTGCCAACTCTCGTCATTTACATTATTTTAAATAGTAATAGAACGACTGACAATAAACCAACTGTATTAGTGGTATTAGTGTACATACTTTCAAGTATCGTAGGTACTTAATACTTATCGATAAAGCAACATCTGCAAATAAGCTTGTTAAGTTTAATAGAAGTCCTAATCGATACGTGTATGTATGTATGCAACATTGTTCTAATTTATAATTATAAATTGCACCTGGTTTTAACACTTATTTTGCAACTGGTCAATTTAAAAACATGATTTTAATTCAGTAAAGTTCATCTATGTTTATATATTTTTTATAATATTAACAGTAAGTACTTTCAAAAGAGCTACTAAAATACGTGACATGCATTAATTTTTATAAATAAAATTTTATTTATTTCCATTTGATTAGGATATTGCAAATTATGTTTTTGAGAAATATACAACCTTCGGGAAACGTGAAGTCTTCGAACCGCTTAAGTTTTATTAGACACTATCGGTTCTTAAAGTTATTGTTCTTATAGACACCAGGCAAAATTAAAATTTCATTTAGGCTAACTTTGACCGTAACTTTGACGATAACCGGTGCTTTTTGTATGGAGTTTGACAGATTTTTGACGTTTGTCAAAGTTAAAGTAAGATGGTGTAACCCAGCCTTAGTAACTGATTCGATTTCGAAATCGCTTTATGAAGCGAAGTAACTACGTACAAAAAAGGCCAGGAAAATGACTTCAGATTTAAACTGTCACCTATATTCGTTTGTCTTGATAGTCCCTTGTTTGTCATAGCCTACACCATAGAAAAAGTGATAATGGTGATAATGGTTAATCTGCTGTAAGTTCACATGAAACTAACTTCACATAAATGGGCCATTCTTAAATTTGTGCCAATTTTTTTTAAAAAATTAAAGATTTTTTTTTTTAAATTTTTGCGATGTGTATCGAAAGTATAAACCAAAAGCATACTTTTGATGTATATGGACAACTTTAAAGCCCTCGGAAAGAAACAAAATAGCCTACGTAAACACGGCTGTGACACTGCATGACACGGATGTGACAGTTTTACATTTTTACTGTAAATAATAATATTTATGTTGTTAAATTTATATCATAATAGTTTAAATTGATTAACAATAAAATACACTAAATTCGTTTCATCAACAAAGGTGTTATTTGGTAATAGGTATGTACTTTTTTCTGAACATCCAAAAATTTAATTAAAATTGAGATCAAAAATACCGTCAAGTAGTTAATATATCTACTAGATAATAAAAAAATAGACTTTTTATTATTGGCACTATCTGATCATGCTTCCGATATGCTACCTACATGGTTTCGATATGATAATATGCTTAACAAATTAGTAAATCTTAAACACAGTAGGTACCTAATTGAGTATCAAATGAGATTTCTGTAGGATTCACATAACAGTTGGTTTTGACAACTTAAACATGTTTCATAGTCACCGTACCACTAAAAATATGGTTAATAGCAATTCCTTTTAAAACAACTCCGACCACCTCTGCAGGGCCTTTACCGGGAGCTGTCTCAGTAAAATTTGATATTACTGCAGAAATGAGAAAGTGCAATAATTTTTCCTTCGTGGCATCTAGAAAATCATACTAGCGAAAAATAAGTACACTTACTAAAAGGCTACTCCTAAAAATTGCACAATACACAAAATAATTTAGCAGAACAACAAAAACTATTAAAATAATAAAAATAGAATGTCACAACCACGCGTTGTAATGTCACGACCATGTACTTAAATAGTTTGCGGTAGTGACACATTTTTAATACCATGGCCGTGACAATTTGGAACGTGTCCGATATATCCAAAAAACTATCTGTGAATTAGCAGATCTTGTGCAATTATCTGAAACTATACTGCATGAGGTACATAATTATGTTTTATACAATAGCGTGACATTGATACCTACCTTTAAAAACCGTACACGGGATGGACGTGTTATGGTTGTCCCTTTTTTCAAATAAATAGGAAATAATTTTTTGCGGCTCACTCACTACGTTCAGCCATTTGCAAATCTAATAAGATGACAATGTTACTGTTCTAAAAAAACTTAGCAAGGGATGTCAATATCAAAGATAGTTTTTTACCGAGTTACGCATATTTAAAGTGGCGCACGTGGTTGTGACACAAAAACTGCTCACACAATGTTTGGTGTTCAAAATCAAAAATGGTAATTATTATTGATATAAATTTTTAACAGTCTTATATAACATGTATTAATCTTGCATAATTACTGTAATATTTATCAAAATAACATAACATCTCTTCAGAAAAAAATATTGTATGTCCAAATCCGGGAATCTCACACTACACGGTCCGTGACATTTTGGACTTGTAACTTTTTTTTAATATTCTTCTAATAGTTTTATGATAAAAATGATATTGGGCCTAGTTAATAGAGGTATTTTACTAAGTAAATTAATATACAGTGCACTGATTTTCTTTAAAAACATATGCTATTCTTACATCTCACACAAAAATGCGTAAGAATAAGAATGGCCCAAATACATTATTCATTATACAGACGTTGGACACTTAAGAACCTGTAGTCGAGTTATTGGACAGATATTTATTGAATTAAATATAGCATTTCTATTTCAACAACTAAGAGATTCCTACTGATGGAGATAAAAAGGTGTTAAAGTTATAAAGTTAGTATTATTTATTATGGAAGTTCAAGGGGTGTTTTATCCAATGACTGGTAGCTTCCAATGACTGTAAGTTTATCTATCACGTGTTCAATCGGTTATCAATTCGCGAATTCCTTTCATTTTCATTCGCCCCATGTTTTAAACATCGGTCGAATTCGTTATGGTGTGTATGTGAAAAAATCTCGGATCGATCCGTGAATGACGCAAATACCCCGTATTGCTTTTATGTATGTGCCATTTGCATTAATTTATACGACGGAATATATTAGCGCCATTTTGTTCTCGTTTGCTCACTTCAGATTGGAAATATTGCAATAAATGGCAGTCAGATATTATGATAATTGAAGTTACACGAATGCTATCTTATACCTACACCTACACGGTATAGTACGGTAAAATATGAGGACTTTTTATATTTTTTCACCACTTTTTAAAAACCATTTATTTCAATACGTCCTTAAAGTAAGACAAGCCCCAGATATTTTTTGAGACCACGTCCCAGCGCGGCGGTCACAATTATATAGATTTTAATAAAATGTTTACATAATAATTAGTCTTAAACACCAAAATATTGTGTAACAGCAAAATAAAGTTAAACAAAGCTTTAAAAGGTCATTTCATTCTATATCTTTGCTGCTTTTCGAACGCTCTACACATTTGCACTTTTGTATATGTATTTCGCATACTTCATTGGTCCATACGTCACAGACCTAGAATGCAAATAAGGTGGCACGTGGAGGGAGGTGCTCTGCCGTGAAAAGAAGGCTATTGTTGGATGTGACGTCATTGATCATCCAGCATTATAATGGCAAACTAGGATACCATGATAATATCATTAAACAATGACATTTCAAACAAAAAAAAGTTTCCCACGCATTTGAACTTTTTATGCTTACATTTATTTATCTAATTCGGAATAAGACACGCGGTTTTAAACATTTTTGACTGAAATAAATATTTTTTATTGCTGACGTTCTCGATTTTTGCATTTAAAATGCCCAAAGTTAATCGTTGGCATTTCAATGAATATCGTATAAATTCTATCCTTGAGAACAAGGTCCCGAATTCAATTCCAGATGGGAACATTTAAATATGATTTATCTCCCGGTTTTATGTGTCTTTTTGTCAAAAATATAATTAACTAGCGACCACCCGCGACTTCGTACGCGTGGATCCCATTTTACCCCCTTAGGGGTGAAGTTTCGTAAAATCCTTTCTTAGCGGATACCTACGTCAAAACATCTATCTCCTTGCCAAATTTCAGCCCGATCCGTCTAGTGGTTTGGGCTGTGCGTTAATAGATCACTATGTCAGTCAATAGTTCGGGGATGTCGTTCCAAAAGTATTACTTCGTGTTATTTCTAAAACAAGACAGTGATTTGATCGTCTGTCGCTTACAACAATGTCAAACTAATTTAACTAGCTATCAATTTTCGCCACTTATATACCAACGAAGGTATATACTACATAATATGCAGTCTCGAAGCGTCTCGGAGTGGCTCCTCACATCGGTCAAGTG